ATATTTATTATATTAGATAGTTAGTTTTGAATTTATTTTCTACAAATACTCCATTTTTTAATTGAAATTTACGTGCATCTAATTATCCAAGTCAATACAAAGATTTTCTATGTTTGTTCAACTTGAATTTTGTATATTTTGTCTTTATGATATTCATTGATTAATGGACATGCTTTTCTCATTATTGTTAAAATTGTACAGCGTGTGAATATTAGTTTTGAAGAAGTAGAAATTTTAATGCCACATTGTCACTTGCAACGAATTTATGTACAAGTTCTTAATTAGTTTGGAAAGCAGTTTGATGCTTATTAAAATTTGCATATTTTTCACTTATACATTGAATGAAACATAAAATTATCAATTTAAAATTAGATTCACTCAAATTTCAAGTGATCATATTCTTAGAATTTTTAACACTTACAAGTTTGATTCAATACACAGTTTTATAGAATATTTAATAATTTTTGAGTTATTAATTTTATTGATTATAGCCATTCCCGAAATTTACAATGACTTATTATTGTTACCATTAATTTATAGGAAAACTCTATTTTATTTTATTTTTTACTAAATTATGAATACTAATTAAGAAGGCTCTTGAATGGATAACCTCCCAACTTATTTTTTTCACAAACTATAGTTAAAAATTAATTATGCAAATCATTTAATTGCATAATCAAATAATTAAAGTTTTACGTCCCATCCCACAATTTCTTGTCTAACTATTTTGTCGGCATTTCAAAAGTTTTTTTTTTTTTGGTCTATTATAACGATAAAACTTCAGTCATATTATCGTACTAAAAAGTGTATATTTAAATTTTAATGTCGTCATGTTAAAATAGTGTTATACTATATACTAAAAATTGTAAGTATCATTGATACTTATTAAAGTTATATTATAGATAAATATTATTAAAAATATTGACATTGTTAAACACTGAAGATCTTAAAATTGACTTAGTAACTTTGTTTAATTTATAAATTTTTTTGTGTTATTATACCATGTGCAAAGCACGTTTAGAAAACTAACTTTTAAATTTAAATTTTTACCAATTATTTTCATATATTTTATTATTACTCCTCTCAACTTTCACAAGATTATTAGAAAAAGAGGTTCATGCCTTCAATAATACATAATCTAATCAAATTGAATCGAAATGAATCAAATATGTTTACTTGAATTTAGACAAACCAAAGCAAGAGACTAAATGTGTCACTACTTTTGACAAATTAAATGAGTATCACTTTTTATATTTTGTGATTTTGGATATATTTAACGAATATAAATTAGGCACCATTTTTGCGTTTTAATATTCACATGTATACATACTTTACTTTTAAAAATTAATTTGACATATTTATATTTAAATAGATCTAGAAAAGAACTTAGTTACGTTAAAATAATAATTTTATAATGTATTTGAAATTGTCATTCAAAAAGAAAAAATGATGAAAATTCAATTTTATGAATTTAAGTATACCAATTATTTGTATAAGTGGTAGAATTCAGTAATTTTTTGACATCTTTTATTTATTGTCAATTCAATTTAATATTTGATAATTTTAGCTCTTCATTTTCAAGGTATGTTCTTTTCTTCTTTTTTTTCTTTTTTCTTTTTGTAATTTCATTTCATATTTGATTCTCATTTTTTAGCTTTTGTGTGGAATCTAAATACAAATCGGATTTTATCAAGAAGAGTCCCTAAATACATTGTTGCCATATAGTATCTCACCACATAAGTTAATATTGAAAAGAAATTGTAGTGATGCTTTTAAGAAATTTGGACACATCCAACGATCTTTATAACGGAACAAGAATGATTTGTTGTGCTTTTAAATAACATATTATCCATTCAGAAATAATCGTTGGGCAACATGTTGGTAAATAAGTTTTCCTTCCACGCAATCCATTAACTCTAGCATATGATGAAAGATATCTATTCAAATTCAAGAGCAAACAATTTCAATAGATCTATGCTAGCAATTACCATTAACAATGCAAAGTAAACAATGCCTACTATTGAAATATACATTTTGAACATGTATTATCTCATGAACAACTATATTTCACATTTTTTTCGTGGAATTTCAATGCAAACAACAAAAGTCTTGAAAAAGACTAAAAATAGAAGATAAAAAGAAGAAAAGTTATAGACGTTGACATAAAATATTGTGCACAAAGAAATGTTATTCTACTAAAAATATTACATTTCAATTTTTTCAACCTTTCACATTATGTACATAATTTCATAAAAAGTGCTATATATATACATACATTTTAGTTTTCCCTTTAGCAATATATCAATAATATCAACTACATTCAAAAATATTTGTTAGCACTCAAGAATATATTATGCATATCATTCGTCTGGTATATAGGATGTACAACGTACGTTTTTACTACTAGTAATATATAAATAGACTAATAAAGAGAATGTAGAGAGTTAAATTTACCCTTTATCTATGTTTAAATTGAAGAGCTTATCAAAATCTAAAATTATAAAGTTGATATCACAAAATAATGAAACCCAATGGCTCTTTATTTGAGACTCAAGCCCATAAAACTGGACTACTCGATATTCTGAAAGTCCACCATGTTCGGCCTATTTAATGTTTGGGGGTGAAATTAAGTAATTGTAATCAATTAATTTAATAATTTACGACAAGTAAATATTTTGTGACCTATTGAACGTATGCTTTGTAACTAAAATACGAGATTATGACCTACAAAATGTCTTTGTGACTATGACCTTGTGCGATTTATGATTAGTATGTAACCATGATCATAAATTGTGTGTTTATTGTGATCCTAATCTCTGATTTATTATAGATCACAGAAATTTTATCAGATGTCAAAAAATGTGACCATTTGATTTTAGAAAGAATTCAACAATTTTTTTTTTCTAAAATTTAAAAGCATATCTTAAAAATATGGATATTTTTCCTTAAATTAATTGAAAACTATAGGCCCTACATACCTAAAAAGCTACTAAAGATAAATAGCCCATGTCATTGAAAAATAAAAGTCATATTTCTTGCTAAAAACCCGTCACCCTTGCCGTCAGATTAAGGATTTGGACTACTACTCTTAAGAAAATTGAATTTTTAGTATAGAACCTCAAGTTTTCATATAATTTCCGACTCAAGCTTAAATTAGCAATTTAATTTGCTTAAAGTAAGGTGAACATTAAGATTTCAAGAATATTATTTTTAAACGAGCAAGATACAATTTTTAGTGGACTTCGATAGCTAAGCCGAACATTATTCAAAGACAAAAGTTTAAAAAACTCAGATTTGTGGGTAGAAACTAGAAACATGGAGAACCAAGAAACGATTTGTTGTCGTTAGGAGAAATGAAGAGGCAAATTTTCGAACAGCATCTCAAGGCAGTAGCGAACTTTAGTTGAATGCATTGCTTGAAGAATTGAGAACAGCCTGTCAAATTGTTCAATGATTATAAAGCATCGGAAAAAGGTGGATCATAATCCAGTGAAAAATAGAACCACGCATGTTGGGATAGATTGTAACTTTATCAAGAAAATCTGGTAGAAGATATGTACATTGCTTATACCTACCTACCGAGAAACAATTACCAAATATTCTTAACGAACTATTTTTTCCCAAATTTTAGTAAACAAATTAAGAGAGCGTTAATTTTCCACCAAAATTCATACTTTTGTACTTTTTAATTGACAATCTTTTTCATGGAAAATATTATCTTACTTTTGGTCACAAACCCATATTTTTCTTGAAAACAATGAACAAATTTTTTTATTCACCATCTTTTTCTCTTTCATCTACCTATCAATAAAAAAATGAACAAATATAACATTTTCTAAATTAAAAATAAAATCAATCAAACACATTTAATTGATAATTTTCATGGAAATAATTTCTACTCAATTTAATTGTCTAGAATTTATTTTCTTTCCACGTAAATTTCATACTTACAATCAAACACATGAGTGTTTAATTGGCTTAATTTTTCATGAAAAATGTTATTTTTCATCCAAATTCCTACTTTTGGGATGTTTGATTGACAAATTTTTTCATGAAAAATATTTTCCAACTTTCGATCACATGATCATATCTTCCTAAAAAACAAGGAAAATATTTTCTTTAGGAAGAGATGATTTTAATTTTTCAGGTAATTAACTATTTCTTTTTCGCTACTATCTATCCACTCTCTCTCTCTCTCATTTATCCGCCCATAAAAAATGGATAAATATAATATTTTCTAGGTTAAAAACTAAATCAATCAAATACATTTAATTATTAATTTCTATATAAATAAGTTCTAAGCAGTTGAATAATCTAAAATTTATTATCTTTCCATGCAAATTTCATTTTTGTAATCAAACGCACCCTAAAAAAAGCTTTCACCTTCATAATTTCTTTCCCTGCTAAGAAAAGAAATCCACATCTTACGACCCACCTGGCCTTAGGTTCATGATATTATTGAGTAACATGAGATCGAAAATGCTAAATAATAAGCCAACATGCATGATCTTCAAATGACAAACCAGATAATTATTGTTAATCCGAAATAGACTAATGAGATCGCATGGTGAAATTTTCCTAAATTAATTTTGAATGGGACCACTCCTGGCTCTTGATTTTGCATGACTTTCAAAATCCAAGTGTGATTTAAACTATTTACTTGCGTAATTGGAAGTAATTTTATTTCCTGCTCTAGTTTTGGAGGATAAGGTGGGTTAACTCCATATTCGTGTAGGATATTATTGGTGTTTAATAAAGCACAGTCGTGCTATGTGGAGAACAGCCATAGGATAAATAATACATAGCAGAATGACGAGGAGCCATATTTAGGAAGAGCCAACTACGTGCACGTTTGTACTATCAATAAATCTTTCATAGTACAACTAGTTAGTTTAGTTGCACTTTTAACCCAAACTAAAGATTACAGGAAAAAATGCGCTCTCTCTCTCTCTCTCTCTCTCTCTGTGTGTTATATTTAGAGCAGCTTAGTAGCAAGAATGAGAGTGAAAAACTGAAACTTTCAGACATATAATTATGATACTGTAATTCAATTCTATACAGAAAGATATCGCAGATCTTGAGCACTCACACTGACAACCACCTTCTAATGTAAGATTAGAAACAAAGAGAATTCAGTTTTAGCTGTTCACCCAAGTAGGATAGTACTTCTATAGTGGATTTTGAATTCACAACATTGGTTCAGCAGAGAGGATAAAGGACTCGCCTTTTTCTCAGAATAAAAAACTACCTCAAGAGAACCACCAAAGTATTTTGTCATGCAAAAAATCTTGGAAAAATTCGTGGATGGAAAGGCTTTCCTGCAGAAATTATTCCATTGCAATATGAAGATAAATAATCACAACATGGAAATCACAATCTCTATCAAATTTTATGGGGAAATTATTTTAGAAAATTGGGTTTGCAAAGACTCACATTTGGAAATCAGATTGATTGGAGAACAGATCATCAAAGAGGATATAAAGGCTTTATCCTGTCCAACAATTTATCAGCTTCAATAAATCCTCCAAAGGGTCCCAAAGACGAGTATTTTACCCGTTTCCACCTTTTCAAATAATTAAAAAAATAGATCAACAGTGAATATTTGTCAGGTGAAAGAAAGAAAAAAATATTTGAGAATAGATAGAATGAGAATAAATCCAGACCAAAGGCTCACCTGGGGATAAAGGGAAGTGCAAAACAATGGAGGTGCAGATGATTGACACTGTTTAATGGAGGCTGATGAAAACCGAATCTAATAAATCAGAAAAGTTAAACTGAATGTCAAAAATTTTCAAGATCAAATAGATGTTTAAAAAAAAATAAAAAATAAATACAGTGCTACTAAGTAGAGGTTAGAATTTATTTTTATTTATTTTTTATTATTTTATTTTATTTTTCATTTTTATTTTTTCAGTTCCAAAAACCAATCTATTGTTCAAGTCGTCAATAACAAAGATCTCCCTCCTTGGTATGAGGTACGCATTTATTGTTGTCAAGAGTTCAGTTCCAATATTGGTCAGGACAACAAATTGGTCTCGTTGGAGAATGAAGTTGCAACCTATCTTGTCAGAGTCGAATTCTTTCAGTCGAGAAGAAATTATGGGAATCCTAGTAGAGATATTATTTAATTTACATTTTTTTAACTTCGATACTTAGCTTAGAAAATGTTTTATTTAATAGATTTTTAGTATTTTATTAGTTATTTACTGTCCAGATTGGCAAATTGGATACTTATTTTAGGAAACATAATTAGGTTTTAATTTAATAAATTTTCTTGTATTTTCCAACTTTATTTAGACTAGTTTAAATCATATATAAAGCCCTTGTTTGAGCCCCATTTTGGAGGAAAAATGAATTTTTGAATAGTGTATTGATGAAAAATATGTGGTTAAAAAATAAGGGAAAGTTTTGGATTTACGTGTAATATTATTTTATTGAAGAATGTGTGGTTGAAATGATATCAAAATATTGTAAAAGAATGCATTTTTTTTTATATAATGAGGCTCAAACAAGCCGAAAGGAACTTATGCAATGTAATAATTAAATTTTGATATTGAATCTCTTCTTCTATTTCTCATCTCTCTTCCTCTTTCTTTCAAAATCTTGCTCTTATTGAATGTGTGCTACGTCAATAAATTTACTAAAAACTATGATAATTAGATAGTAATGCTGATCTATTTTCATTCAGAGCTATATATCAGCCCCTAAAAATCAATCAATAAACCCTTTAAAGATTTTAGTTATAAATAGAGAACATAGCAAGGTTCAGTATAGAATCTCATAGCCATCAAATGAAAAACTGATTAAATCTTGGGATCCCAATGTTAAAATAATTAAAGCTCTTCTAGAGTGTCTAGAATATATCAGCACAGAGTGCTGCAAATCAAACACATGTAAGTGTGGAGGCATAAAGAAGGATATGGCTCCATTTTGGTGCATTGGAAAGGAATACCTGTATCTCTTGGCGTGAGGTGCGTCTCTTTGCACTAGATTCTGCCCCACATTTAGCATGTGACTGACTATAAGGACACGAAATTAATCAGATGAAATAACAGGTCCACAAAGTAACAGCAAGATTCCAAACCAATAAACGACTGGACAATTTTTTACCTAATAAAAAGTCTTTGGATCTCTGTCCCCCTTTGGGGGGGGGGGGGTGAAAGGGGGGGGGGGGGGTAATTGATAAGCCCCCAATTAAGCATACCTATTCTAGAAGAATAGAGAAGAGGGGGGAGGGGCAGTAACAAATAACAAATTCTGTTAGGAGTAAAGAGCGAGGAGGCAATTCGGTTAGTAGTAGTCTATAAATAGAAAAGGGTTGGGAAGAGATAGGCATGCAAAAAGAATATTTCAGTAAGAGTGGATGTCATACGACCTCTAACGGTCATCTTTAATTCGGTTCTGTTTCTTTCTTTCTGTAATTGGAATTTTTCCATTAATACAAGTCTCTTTTCACAGTTGATTTCCTTGTTTTTTCCATTAAAGTCTACAGCACTCTGGGTGGTACCTATCATAAACTTAGTATAAATGCAAATTCCCACATGTTTTTGCTTTGAAGAAGGGATGAATGCTTGGTCAAACCCTTATATGGAAAATCCATGAAATATGCTTTTTGTCATATTCATAATTGACCAAACATAAGGTAATGTGTAGTGTGAATGCATGTGTATATAGAATATAGTATTCACGTGAGGAATGAGAGAGAGATTCTTGCTCATTTCACAAATTTCAAGGAACAACAATTTTCAATACTAGAATTAATAGCCTTTCCAGCATCATGGATTTTTCATTAATTATGTATGCCTAGTCTTGTCCTATTTAAGCTCCTCATTCACATTCACATGCTACCACTCAATATTATTTTTCAATCCAAATAAAATACATGCACATAGCCAAGGTGGAAATTATAAAGGGATCAAGCAGATTTATTCAATCTCTATTACTCTTTCTTTTAAATTTCACTGTAAGTACGCTACCCATGTTGGATTATTATTATGTTTCAAGAAAATTATTATGGGTTCCATATGGTACAATATGATTATGATTATGCAAAGGGAATTGGAGTTTAATAGTACTACACATAAGAATTCTTAGCATCTATGCTCGGTAAAATTCTTATGTTTCCATTATGTTGATTATGATTATTATGCTCTTTCAAATTATATATGATAATAATTCATAGCGTACTTATTGAGATTTTATAAATATAACTCTATGATATTTCCTCCTTTTGGACAATTGATGGTTCAAGGCAGTCAACGTGGAGATGACAACTCGCTGGGATTATTAAATTATTTTGTGTTTAAAACACAACTTTAAATTTCTAATTTAGAAGTTACATTTGAATTATTTTATTTATTTATTTTTCACAGCTACATAATAAAAAAACAATTTATTTACTTATCGAAGAAAAAAATTATTTCGTGTTCTTATTTTAGTTCTTATGAAAGAATTTGAGTTTTATTTAATGACACTTGAATAGTCAAGGATTCGGGCTGTCACACATGTAGAAGAAAATACTAATCATCAGCCATATAAGTCTAACTACTAATGAATATCGTCATTTCCTTATTATGGGCAATCAAGCTTATAGATCATAACTACCAGCACACAGTTATGAAACTCTCAAATGCAAAACAGGAGTGAGTAATCATCATGTACACCCTACAATAAACCATGTCAAAAGTCTTTGATTAAGCTTGCCCAACTAATTGCTTTCCTACATTGCAACTACTGATAGACTGTAATCTCAGATTGGAGAAATTCTAGAAAATGAGGGAACTCAAAATCCGCACTGCAATGTGCTTATACAACCCATCTTTTGGAAATTTGTAGTTGGAAAGAATTATTTATGTCAAACTCTCCCTCTATTAAATTGTCTCCAATCTTGATTTGAAAAGCTAAGAAATAAACATGAAAAAGTTCTTGCAGATTCACTCGAGGGTGAGTGTCCCTCACCATTGATGCTGAACTCCATACACTATCAATAGTTTATGAGTACTATTTTCAGATACTGCACTCTTCACGTTTCAACAAGACATATTTATGTCATGCCACTAGCACAAAAGTGTGTGTTTCAGATGAGGTTGCATTTGAACTCATTAATCATTTGGAACAAATCTGTTTTCAAGCCAGAATATTCAAAGTCGAGAGTATGTACGATAAGTATTCAAAGGTGGAGATAGAAACCTTACTAAAGCCACAAAACTGATTCTTAATCAACCAAATTACAAGCGTCCATGATAAGCTACTTACTTTTTCTTTTCTGTTTTTCCTTTTCCCAGACGAAAATTGATTGTTGGACCTCCAAAGAATATGTGCACTTAGGTTTCTAAATAATCCGCATAATCATATCTATTTCAATTATATTTTGTCATTGAATTTCCAACTAATTCCATCCAATATTAGCTCCATAGTCAGCAAATGCAAACTTGCAATAAGTAACTAAAAGCCAATTCAATCCAACAAAAAGATGATAAATACCAAATAAAAGTCATTTATAATCAGCAACGTCGAATTTGGAAGAAATTAATCAACAGCAACGCCCTGAATGCTCATTTAAACTGAAAACAAATGAAAATGTGAAAAATTAGACAGAGACCTGAATGCAGATGGATTTATATCTTGAAAAGCAACGACCCTATCATCCTGCATAAATAAAAAGCGCAGAATTCATTATTTTGAAACGATAAAAGCTTTGCGCCGCCGTGGGTAAGGAGGAGCCGACTGGGGGTTGACCTTGTGGAGAAGAGTGGTTGAGGTGGCAGAGCGGGCGATTTGGCAGAAGATGCACGACGATACAGCTCCTTCCATTCCTCCACGGATGATTCAATTTTTGGGATTTGACGCTACAAAATGGCGTGTAACGGGGTTCTTTATATTATTTTATTAATATTATTTCTTTCAAATTCATGTAGGCCCGTTTGATATGGAAAATTTTCAGTCGAAAATGAAATTTTGGCCATGGAATTCATCTTCCCACTCCCAAGGTTTTGGTGGAAATTGACTTTTTCAGTTTCCATTTTCTTTTCTTTTCTTTTTTTAACAATGTAAACAAATTCTATTCACAAATATAACAAATTTTATTCATTTAATTCACAATTTTTATGAAAAATAAAATCAAATAAACATCAAAAGATTCAAAATTTTAATTTTTTTTTAAGTAAAAATTATATCAATCAAACATATTTAATTGACAATTCTCAATAAAAACAAGTTCTAGTCAATCCAATTTCTTTAAATTCGTTTTCTTCCCACCAAAATTTCATTTTTGCAATAAAATGGAAACTTATAGTAGTATACCCTAATAATGTAATTTTACATATTAACTTAAAAATTTTTCCCACATTTTAAGCAAAGGTTCTCAAAGAAAATCTCTATCATAAAATCTATTATATCAAAATAATAATAATAATATATACAGCTACTATCTATATATCAATTTCTTAATTTTAGAAGCAATTTTTGACTTTCCAATAAGTCTTTCAAATAAGTCTTTAATATCCAGAAAAACAATCTTACTAGGTACGATAGATATCCTTAAAATGGATAGAACAAAATAAAATTTTTACAATCGCTATGGGTACCTTTTTCTTTATATGCTGGGCTACACGCTGATGTCGCAGGTGAAGGGAATTTAAAATTCAAAATTTTAAAACAAACCCAAAATTGTTGGGTCAAGACCTGAACCGACCCAACACTAAAACGAAACAAAACCTCCATTTCATTAATTTCCCCCAATCCTCTTGAACGACAGAAAATCCTTGGAGGTGAATCTGAAGTTCAAAGATGGCTTCCATCGCCGCCCGGAACTTCTCCTTTTAAACGCCACCTTTGGATCCAATAAAGTCATCGCCACCCAAACACCACCACCACCACGAACACCACCACTGCACAATCCCCACCCACGAACTGAAAAACACATCCAAAAACCCTCATTAGATTGTGGAGCTGCAAATCGACCACAGCATGTGACAAGGCTTAATCGACAATGAGCATCGCTATGGGCAGCTTATCATGCTTGGGCTGGACTATCTTTCCACTAAGAAGGGATGCCCGTTGTGAAGGTTATAAATATCTACACGAATGCAGAGAGAAGATGGGCGGCTAATTTGGGGAAAAGACATACATGCAAAGTTGCTGGAGATAAAAGATGAGCTGTTAGGAATTAAAAAGAAGGGAAGCAGACATATATATGGGAGATTTGCGACTGTTGAAAATGAGAAAACATAGGGTTGCAACTGGGACAATTAAAAAGCAGTAGAGAGGAGATGGAAAATTTTCAAATTCTTGTAAATAAATTTATCAATTATTGTGCAAAAATTGGGAAATTAATCACGTTTCGTCAAAATTTGTGTTCTTCACTTTTGTATATGGGAAGACACTGTAATTTTCATCTACTACTATCAATGTGACTTTAGTATTTGTCCTTCATTTGTTGGTGTTAAATTTGGTGTTCATTCGGTTGATGGTGCTGTTTAGTTTGGTGTTAGTTGTTGGTGTTAAATTGGTGTTCATTCTATTAAATTTGGTCATTATGAACTTAGTATTGCAGGAAGAATTTGTTTCTAGTTCTTGTAAAGTAGCCTCTTGTGGTCATTGTGAAATTAGTATTGCAAGATGAATTTGGAATTGCAGGAAGAACATGCTATTGCTTGATCAATATTTGATGACCACAACAGGCTGCTTTACAAGAATAACTGAATATGGTAGACATAATTAATTGAAAACGAATAACTGAACATACTGCTGCTTCATTAACTGAATATGGCAGACAATCGGCTGCTTTACAAGATCAATACAATTACAGATGCTTGCTAACCTTGATGTATAAACTTGACATGGAAAGTTGATATATAAACTGAATATGAAGGACATAGAACCTAATACATTAACTGCATAAATAAGTTATGGACATGCAAAAGCTACTTGTGCTCCAAACTCCAAAAGCCATCAAGTTCTCTCCAAGATCATCAGCAAACTATGATTTAAAATCTGCATCACACAAGAGTACAGCCTTTACACTAAGGTGTATTATGAGTATCAAAGTTGCAATAATATAAGCATGTCCAAAACAAGTAGATGTACCTAAGAGAGTATGAGCTCAACTTTCTACCAAAAACGCGAAGCATCATTTGGACAAGTTGACCTGCCTTCATAATCTATGTAGTTTTAACCATAATTTCAATAGGTATGACTTCAAATAATTACATATGTTTAACATGTACCTTGATCATGTGCGTGTACAGTCGATGCAACCTCTCCCAGTTTACTTGGGCCAACCTTTCACCCCCCTCCCGTACCCGAAGTCGGATGTGACTGCATAATAAACATAACCATCGGAAAAAAAGTTATTAAGCTATTTGAACACCGTAATACCTTAGACTTACGAAAAGTTGCTTCCAAAGAGCTTTTGTTTCGAAGTTTCTTTAGGGCACCTTTTCTCTTCAAGCACTTTGGATCCTGTATACCTTAAGGGCCGATATGTTGTGACGTTCCACCATCGGACGCTGTCTGAAATACATGTTGAGACACATCATTACTTACGCAACTCGACCTCATCATTTTAAATGATTGTTTTTTGCATTCTATCCACTCTAGTACGTCACGGGTTTGATCGTCATTCCTGATAGCCATGTCCCCAGGCGAAGCAAATGATTGACACATTTTCTCATATCTCATCTGGGCAGGTGTGCGTCTCAAACCATCATAATTCACAACAACTTTGGTATGGGCTCTAATAACATCTCTTCTCCATCTCCGTAATATATAGATATCCGACAATGCAGTGACGTTGTTATGGATAAGTACAGTGATCACGTGCCTGCAGATTATACCTCGAAACTTGAACAACCGGCAACCGCAAACAATTTTACATCGCTATCTTTCAAATGTCAAGAAAAACATTTGTTTCTTAACTCGATTGTCAAGTATGATGTCCTCCAATACCTCATATATGGTCCCTACACTACCCTCCGACGAAGAAATGAGGTCGCAATAAACCTTTCCAATGAATTCATCCTGAACTTTCCGAAATTTTGAAATGGTATAAACTCCCTGGTGTATGCTGTCGTAGGCACTCCAAATTAAAATCTATATTTCTTAAAATTAATATAGCAATGGAAGTAAGGGTCAATCCCATAAAGAGCGATTAATTTTCTTTTTGATACAATATTAACTAGAATGGGGTGTTTCAGTTTTCTTGAAATAATACAAATCACCGAATTAAATACAAACAATAAAATAAGTCTTGATCTAAGTCAACATCCACCGTTGGAAATCAAAAACCGATCATTGATTCACAAATAATCATCAATTTATAATTGTACCATTCATTGTGAAAAATAAATTTTTTCATTTGAAACAATTTTCCTATTTCTCCTTAGTTTTGATTAATTAGAAACAATCGATCTAATTAATCATCATCATCAAACAATCCTAGAAAAACGCGAGAATTTAATTTAATAATGACTTTACAAATTAGATAAATCAATGAACTAGATAATACAAACCAAGCGTTTGCATTTAACCTAGATAAATCTTCTCTCTAAGATTTAATAATTTCCAACCAGCAAATTATCAATCTCAATTGTTTTATAAGTTAAACCAATCAACAATTAAGTTTTGAAATTCAACTTAGTTATAGATTATTGAGATTAATAAACTAGCGTGCACTCTAGAATCAAACAAAACAATCATAAAAATAATTATAGAAGAAGATTTAATACTAAGCATATGAATTAATCAATAAAAATCAGGTGGATCTCACAATCATAATTGTTCCAAGGCTTCCGTCTCTTTCAATCAAGCAAAAGAAATTAGTTACACATCATAAATCTTGAGCACAAAGAGAGAAAAATAGGGTTGGAGGCGTTCTCTCCGATTTGGACGAGATTTGAGGCTTATATATGGTGTACAAAGTTTGTTTCCATAAGTATTTGATTCAAATTACGAAACTAAAAATTGTGTGTCGGAAATGAATTATGCGACCGCATAGTTATAAGTTTTGTGGTTGCATAGAACAATGATTTGTAGCCCAAAAGTTCTCTGAAGGTCAGAATGCGACCGCATTGGTTTAACTCTATGACCGAATAAAATAGCCATTTTCCCGTCGGACAGCTTTCAGTATTTTGATCGTAACTTTCTTTTTGATGTTCGATTGAGGTAATTCAAAGTATATTGGAAAACTAACTCAAAGGGCGACAACTTTTATTCAGATGTCATTTTTCAATTCTATCGTTTATTATGTCAAAAATGGGTTCCAATATGATGCTGAAAATCGGTGCATAACCTTTTCGATTGGAAATTATGTGTGATTATACTTTGATTGTATTTCATCCCTTTGACTTCTTTTCTCATCCACTTGACCTCTAATACTCTTGAATCTTCATCTCATAGCTCATCTCATCTAGGGATTATTTGCAACTTGGTCCCTGAGCTTTCATCTTCTCTTTTCTTGGCGTCTTTTTCTTGTTTTCCTTCTTCCAACACTTTAAGTTTTCCATCAATTGATCTTAAAATCTTTCACACTTTCGTTTCGCCTTCCGATTCAACTTTTGGATATTTGCATTTTAGTCCTTAAACTTTTGATTTCTTTCACTTAGGTCATTTTTCACTCTTTCCTTCTATTTTATGCCATGATCATCCAAATGCAACCTAAATCGCAATATAAGGATACTTAGCATATTTAGGTGTTAATTAGTCATAAAAATGAAAGAATTAATGGATGTAAATCACGACATTTCATGTCTTATCACTCCCTAGAATTGCTTCTCCAACTCGAATTTCGTTGCACATGGTACCATCTGCGAGAATGATTTAAAATTTGCTTGTCTCATTCTTTAACTTACTCCTCAATGCTCTCATATTGTTCGACAAATTATTTTAGT